ACGTACAGGCTTTTTTAAAGATAGGTTAAAATGTATTACTAAAAACGTAAAATGTTTAAAAAATTCTGAAGAAGGAAATTTTACAAATTGCTAAAATATGATATAAAAACGTAAAATTTCTAAAAAAAAAAAACTCAAACGTAACTTAAAATACAACTACGTCTAAATGTAAAAACCTAGTCAAAAAAACTTTTCCATGCAAACAAAATTCTTTTTCAAATTTTAACGAATAATCACTAGATTCCCATCTTGGGAGGAAATGAAATTTGACAGGTGAGACTTCATGGAAATTCCTTTTCAAAACAAAATTTCTATATTGATCGTGAAATGTTGAACCTTGGGTCAGTGAACAAAAGACGAATTGAATAAAACTGGAAGATTTCAAATAAAGTCTCTCCAAGAAGATTAAATCAGATGAATTTTTTTTTCATTTGGCATTCATTGTGTTTTTATTTCAATGCCACGAAAATAAAAAGTAAATAAATAATTCAAATATGGGTTTCAGAGATTTCAGATTGATTATTTGACTGGGTTTATAATATTCTATTGTTGACGTTTCTCGAAGTTTAGATCGTTTTGAAATTAACAAAAATCGTACAGGAAAAAATCTCACTCGACCACGAATTTAAACTTACGTACATACATACGAATGGAGATAAACAATTTAAACAAAGACGTATTAACTCGAGAGAGAGAGAGAGAGAGAGAAGAGAGAAAAGGGGGATGTTCATACTAAGATAAATAGAAAAGAAGATAGATGCGCAAGATAAGTAACGATGAGCGTCTATAAACGAAAACCTGGCGAGCCGAGTTCGAATTCCTGCCGATTTACTTTGCCACGTATAACCTTGGTATAGTTATCAATCCATATCTTCTCTCTCATCGATTTTGGGTTAAATGACAGTGTAGGCTAGTTTCTGTAGCCGTGGTTGGTAAACAGAATAGGAGAAGGATAACTCTAAATTCAAAATCGTATGTAACCCTCGCGATGTGCCTTGGGTCTTCAACGACTAAAACGTTTAAAGAGTTCACAACTGCGGCGCAGACGATGAAAGAATCCATAAACTCTGCCACAGTTTTAACTGGGTTGGAATGAAAAAAAGTGATCTTTTCTCAGTGAGAAAAATGTGATTTTGCGTGTATATCGATTTCCTAAGCTGAGCTGTGGCACAAGGCCGAAAGTATGAGGTACCTCAGTAAGGAACGAACTCATTTTTCAGTCGTAACTGTTTTGCCGAGACAATCATGCTAAAGATTACATCGAAGAGCCTCCGATTTTGTGTGTATATGTCGTTCTGTGTTAGGCAAAAAGAAAATTTACTATTATTTCAAAAGAAACTTAGAAAGTTTTACTCGCTTGGGATAATACTTTTGTTCGCCTCCAACTTTGTATAGTCTCAAGGTTATCTCAAGTTTTGTGTCGGTGGTGTAATAGATAGCGACTCGGAATTAGAAATCGTAGCGCTGAGTTCGAATTCCAGTCGGGTTCGTTGCATTCACTCATCCGCAAATAACTTTAGGAAAGGTAAGAAGCCATTTTCTCCTTACCCCTCCAACTTGTATCCGGAAAAAAAAATCATTGTTTATTCTCAAAAATTGTTAATGTAATATTCACTCGCTTAAAAAAAAGAATTATTCTTAAAATCCAAAATATGTTTCGACTTTAATTAATCCACAAAGGGTTGATAAACAATAAAAAATAGATCAACTACTACCCAGCCCAGTAATTAAACTCACAACTTCTACATAACCTCACTCACGGACCAACGTTTTAATCCACTAAGCTTTGGCTCTGTGGGACAAACATGAGAATAAAAAATATACCCTAAATTGGCTGCTACTAACATCGCTGCTGCTGCTTGTTACGCATGATTGTATACACTAAATTCGCGAACCAACAATTTAATTCATTAGGCTATTGCCCCGTGGGACAATCCTAAGTCTATAATTAAGAGTCTAATATATTCTGCCTGCTATTGATACTGCATCTGCTTGTCACGCTTAATTGCATTAACCAAGGCTTCTCTTTTCTTGCTGGCTGTTAAATACTTTCTGTCATTTTTCTTTATTTATTACCGGAGTTCATATTGTATTTATTTCTTTGCTAGGCCTACTGACGAGACATTCATGACTGTATGATAAACATATAAATTGCTATAAACAGCAGTCTATAATTTTGATAACTTGATAAAACATTTAGGTGCTACAAACAGTTGTTAGGTAATTTGGTGTCTATGTTTCTTCAAGCTAATTGGTTGAAATGTTGCTTACCGATAAATTTAAGAGAATAGTTGTTTTTTTTTTTGTTGTTGTTTTTTGTTTCTACCGCTAAAAAGTTAGAGGAGTGTCTACTCTAGTGTAATATTTCATAAGCGTATCTCGCAAACTATTTACATTTAAATTTATATTCAAAAATATTTACACCCTAGCGAATACACACAATGACAAAATGAAACACTTTATGAGAAGGTTTTACCAATTGCTAGTCTGTAGTTCTTTTTACCCCTCTTAAAAAGAAACAAAAAGCAAAGGACTTGCTTATTTGATTAAAGATTTTGAAACATTGTTTCTAAACTTGACAATGTGACCTTTAGAGTTCAATCAAGCGAAGTTATTAAAGACTGACAAAATGATCACACGAGGAAAAATAACCAATAATTCATTACGCGGGTCTTTTTCTTATTAAGGCGAAAAATTTGTTAATGGACCCATGTAAATTATGCAAGGACTGAAAACAAGAAAGAAAGAAAAAAACCGACAAATTTTCTACAAAGCTGAATTATTGAAAGAACAACGCCGAAGATGGCCAGTTCAGCGTAAGCCGGAATATATCTGTAATGGCAAACGTACGTAGGTATATGCTTTAAGAAAGCTTTATTCAACTGAGAATACAAGGTTCGTTTATAGTGTCATTTTATACTCCCAGTAAACAGAAATAGCTCTCTCAAAGAGAAGAGTAACGAAACAAGGGGAGACCACTCTTGATTATTCATAACAATCTCTATAACCTGTTCATTTGCCTGTTGTGTGGCTGAGATAGTAACGTATTTATTTTAATACCAATGTCTATTGTTTGAAATTCGATAATATCAGATATTTTAAATACTGGTTTTCAAAGGCGAAAGGCCCTCATTATTTGGAAGTGTAACGTAATCTTCCTACCAGCAACTGGTTTGGTTTGCCTTGTTTTATTTTACGGCATATCAACCTCAATGGATTATTTAATGCCGACAAAATTTTTATTTTTGCCGGTAATATATTTTTCTTCAAAAATCTATTTCTGGGAATATTTTTCCTTGAAGAAATCTATAGCTGGTCATATTTTTTTTTTCAAAGAATGTATAACTATTTGTATTGCTGGTATTTTTTGTTTAAAGTATTGCTCATAATAATTTTACCTTAAAAAATTATTGCCGGTGATAATTTTTTTATTACAAAGTATTTCTGGTATTAAAACCTATTTTTACACAAGTTTGGGTGTTTTAAACACAATTCTCCATGATTTTCTCTCATTCATTCATATCTGCTCAAAGCGTATCCAAATGTAAACAAATGACGTCATACGTTATGAAATGGACAAAGTCCGACAATTATTTAAGACACGTTTTATGTTTATACGTTCTTTTTATAGATACAAATATTTAAGTAAAGACTCTGTTTATAATAAACAGAATTAATAACATTTTACCGGCCTTCGGAGGACGCATATTTTCTATGAAAATTTCTCGGACATTCAGGCTGGTAAATGTTGTTATTACTGTTTATTATAAAATGAGCATTTACTTAAATATTAGTATCTATAAAAGAACGTATAAACATAAAATATATATATATATATATATATATATATATATATATATATATATATATATATATATATATATATGAGAGAGAGAGAGAGAGAGAAAAGAACGTCCATCATTATATCGGTATTAAAGATAAGATTAGATTAGAATTATTGTCCGTGTTTAACTTCTCTCTCTTCCCTCTTTTTACCATCGGGGCGAAATATTCTGCCATTGGTCAGAAACTCGTTAGGCGACTTCCGGTCACTTACTGACACAATTCCTTTACTCTGTCACTGAAATAACGCCACTGTATTGATTATCTGTCTAATGCAATAATGAAAGTGTGCCTGTCATAGATTTATAGATCCTACTTTTCAACAGAACTACTTTTGGTCTCTTCGAAGCTTTCAAATGCACGCATGTGCGTGCCACTCCCGTTCACAGAAATCACACGGAAAATGGGGAAGTTTTATGACAGACATTTGATTGAGAAATAAACTGACACATACTGACATTACACATAGTGGTCAGGTACTTAGAAGAGAAACAGTTTGTGTGTGAAAACCGGAGTGATTTTATAACTCTAGAAAAAAAGCAATGGCTAACGATTTGGAAAACTCCTATAAAGAACCTTTGTTCAATGATTCTATCGTTTCCAATTACGTATTGGCGGGAAGAAGGCGACATTATTACACGAAGCCCGTGAGTGGCAGAATGTTGCTACCTTCCACGAAAACAATCAAACAATATTTAAACGTGATTTCCATTCAGACATTATCTGGTGACAGTGAACACACTTCCGTTGCAATTATTTTGGACTGTTGATTAATGCATATACTGTGTGGGTATTTTTGATTTTAAATGTATACAAATGTACTGGTTGCTTAACATTGAAAGTGTTTCTCCATTGATCCCTAAAATGAAAGTCAATATTAAAAATATTGACCTTCTCATTGATTCGAACGCTTACTGTGCATGACGACACTCGCTTCAGTTGTGAGCAGCTTACTGAGATGTACGTTCAGGCATATTAAATAAACGAATAAAAATTGAGATAGAAAACATCTCAGATAGATAGATAGATAGATAGATAGATAGATAGATAGATAGATAGAATAAAATAAAATAAAATAAAACAGAATAAACAATGAGTAAACGCCTATGAATTCAATGTTTCGCTTTTATTTTAGTTTCATCAGATGTGTTCATTGGTCAGTGGTAGATAGAGAGGAAGCAAAAAATAGATAGATAGATAGATAGATAGATAGATAGATAGATAGATAGATAGATACGAAAAGACTGAGATAGATAGATAGATAGATAGATAGATAGATAGATAGATAGATAGATAGATAGATAGATAGATACGAAAAGACTGAGATAGATAGATAGATAGATAGATAGATAGAAAGATAGAAAGAAAGAAAGAAAGAAAGAAAGAAAGAAAGAAAGAAGGGAAAATATTTGATATAGAGAGCAAACAATATCGATATTGAAGAAAGAAAATGAAGAAAGCAGCAGAGATAGAGTGTCAAGTAACAAGACCAAGCGAGAAAGAAAACAAAAACATGTAGAAAAGGCAGAGAAAGGTAAAGAGGTAATGAAATAGAGAACGAATAAGACTGATAGATAGATAGATAGATAGATAGATAGATAGATAGATAGATAGATAGATAGATAGATGATTAGTTCATTCCTGTCGAATGACAAACATTATATACTTCTGATTGATAGTAACATATTGAGGACTTCAATAATGGTAGAAAAGTAAGAAAAATATTCAAAAGAGTGATCGTTTATATGAAGAGAATGAGATAATAGGCAGATAAAAATACTATCAACATACTGAAAGAGAGTGAGAGGGTGAGAGAGGGAGAATGTAAAAGAAAGATACAAGTTTGACTCAATAGGCCCTTAGTCACATATAGTTTTACCTAAATTTTGATCTAAAACATTTACTCTTATATCTTTGATTTACGCATATAATGGAGAAGCTTTGGATTAGGTGCATTCGAGATTATTTGGTTAAAAGAAATGCTTTTGCTATCATTAGGATTCATCAATAGGTAGATTATTATGAACTGTATCTGTTTTTATTTTTGAAATGAGTTATTGCAATCATTTACATTATTTACATTGTTTGGACTATGGTCCTCATCTTCGTTGGCATATTCACGACGTTTCAGCCGTTGTACGACACGACCTTCTTCAGGATCTGTCGATATTTCTGAGATGAGGCATTGTAATTATTTACATTATTTACATTGTTCGAACTGTTGTCCTCATCTTTATGGACATATTCACGACGTTTCAGCCGTTGTACGACCCGACCTTCTTCAGAATCTGTCGATATTTCTGAGATGAGGCATTGTAATTATTTACATTATTTACATTGTTCGAACTGTTGTCCTCATCTTTATGGACATATTCACGACGTTTCAGCCGTTGTACGACCCGGCCTTCTTCAGGATCTGTCGATATTTCTGAGATGAGGCATTGTAATTATTTACATTATTTACATTGTTCGGACTGTTGTCCTCATCTTTATTGTCATGTTCACGCTGTTTCGGCTTTTGTGAAAGGGTTCAGTTCGAAATTTCAACCACCTAAAGAAGGCCGGAGAGTACAACATGACAATGTGACAATAAGGATGAGGATAACAGTCCGAATAATGTAAATTATGATCTGTCAGGTCCGGATCTGGCGGCTCGACTTCAGTCCCTTTCCCACCGCCGTATGGTTACCTCTCTGCGTCTTTTATATAGATACTTTCATGGTAATTGTTCGGATGACCTCTTCGTCAGGGTACCTAAACTTTTTTTTTTTAATTTAAGCATAGTACTAGACTAGCATCGAGATCTTATTAATTTACAGTTGAGCGAGGTCGATGTAGCTGTAACTTCTATGCTAACAGTTCTCGCACTTCTTGCTTCTGGAACTCCTTTCCGGTTCCATGCTTTTCAGCCGACTTTAATCTGCAAAAATTTAAATGTAATGTCAATCGCTATCTACTGTCTTCTTGGTTGTTCTTTTCTCTTCCTGGTTAATATTAATGTTTCTGTTCCTAATTCTTCCACAATCTGTAACCTCGTTGTGGCTTTATTGACTTGTATGGGGGGGTACTGATGTGAAAAAATGAGATGTTTTCCTGATACGTCAGGTAAAGCTCGGTTTTTGCAATTGGCACAATATGTCATGTGTTGATTAAATATGAAGATGGATAAGGAAGAAAGAAGACTTTCTCTTCTGAGATATGCCAGGAAGCAAAATTTCTAACCATCCTGCAATCGACGATCTAATGCAGTCATGAGAAATGCATTCGTTCCATGATAGGAAAATGCTGTTTGACAAAGAAAATTTCTGAGTTAGAAAAAAAAAAAGAAAGTCAATGGTTGTCTGGGTGCACAGACGCGCCCATTGATCCCCTGCGAGATCTTTTTTCTTTTTTCTTTTTTTTTGTTGGTTTTATTGTATTATTTCTGTTTCCCGATGGAGTTCAATTCGCTTGATCAGAGATAAAAGAAATCAGTTTTTGTTTTTTGTAAAAAAAAAAGAAAAAAGAAAAAGAAAATCATTGTAGCAGCTAAGAGGATCAATGTTACATTCTACGTTTATCTTTAGAAGTCTGAGAATTTAACGAAGAACCGAAGGTGAGATACGGAAACCCGAAGGTGCATCGTGATAGCGAAAGGGGCCTTCCAGAAGCTAAGCAAAGTATTAAGAAACAGAAAATATCATGAGAAACAAAAAAAAAGAGTACTGAACTGTGATGTGATATCAGATTTCTTATATGGCAGTGATTGCTAGACAATCTCTTCATGGATGAAGAAGAGACTTGAAGCAAGAGAAACAAAGAAAAGAGTACTGAAATGTATTGTAATATCAGTCCTCCTATATGGTAGTGAATGCTAGATAATCTCTTCATGGATGAAGAAGAGACTTGAAGCAAGAGAAACAAAGAAAAGAATACTGAAATGTTATGTAATATCAGTCCTCCTATATGGTAGTGAATGCTGGACAATCTCCGCAAGGGACAGGAAATTGTGGAAAGCCATGACCGCCAACGTCCCAAAGGAACACGGCACACAGAAGAAGCCTAGCTCAGAAGAGGAGAGAAAAAAAAAGAAGCAATGTTCTTCATCTACTAACTTCAAACTCTCTTCTCCCGTATGTAGACGACATAATGATGTTAAATATTTTAAAATTTGATGCTTGCTCCTCCAGCCATAGTTATATGGTCCCACCTAATCTGCATACTGGTATTACCTTCATGCTATAGCAACCCTATAGAAAATAAGGGTAGGGGATGTTAGCTCATTCCCCAAAATCCTTTGTAACCCTGTTTCTCTCAATTGGTTTTTAAATCCTCACAGACGAACCAGCTTGTCTCGATGTCTGGACAACACGCTTAGGCATGCTGTTTCCCAAGTTCAGCTACGTTGGTACCTGGCAACAACTTCATTTGGAAATCTCTATTTTGAGTAGCCCTTAGGCCTTTTATTTGGTGAAAGATAGTAAAAAACATCGACACACTAGCTATAGTTCTGCAGTTACTAGTCAACGGCGCTGAATTGGTAATTGTATGGCAAAATTAATTCTGGAATTGTCGCACAATGTTTGCAACATCTTTCTTTGTTTATTGTTTGTTATTGTCAAGCGTTTTCCAATCAGTTTGGATGGAAAATTGCCATGGTTTTAGATTTATTTTTGTGTCCTTCTCCGTGGACAGGAAGTTTCTATTTCGGGGACAAACACTGTAACCTGGTTCAATTAAGAAGTGAAAAGAAGAACTCATATAAAAGTGACTTGAAATTAACCATTACCGAATTCTTTAGTCAGGTAATTTGTATTTGTTCCTTCATTCATAGGCGTAATTATTATGAATTTTTTTTACCAGTTTCACATGGTTGATTCTGCTGGGGATCAAGGAACAACAAATATAGGCAAAAGCAAGAACTTCACTATATTAATATTAAAAGGATCAGTATACCTACCCAGCAGACTATCGATTGTATTCGTGATGGTTGTGTCCTTAACTCGGTAGCGCTGTTAATTTTGAACAACAAAATCTTTTTCCATGGCTGTATAGTATGAGATTCGCCAATTATACACATTGTTTTCACACCAGACTTGTCCTTCACCTAGCCAGGCTACAAGCCACGGCTAACAGATGAAGGGTAAAGAAATGGATTCATACTTTTCCCAAAGGTATATGTGCGAAAGGGGATGTAACGAATTCAACCAGAATTCGAACTCGGGATCCACGATAATGATTATAGTACCTGAATTTTTCCTTTAAATATCTACTTCAGGAAACTTTGAACTCTAATTATTTATTTTTGATTCTTCTGAGATTATTATTATTAAATAATAATCATTATTATTAATAAATAAATATAAAAATTAAAATTAATAATAATTATAATAAATATCATAAATAAAATAAAAAAATATATAAAAATTATTTACATTATTCAGACTATTGTCCTCATCTTTGTCGCAATATTTATTACAACGTTTCGGCCGTTGTACACTCTGGCCTTCTTCAGGTGGTTGGAATGTCGAACTGAACCCTTTATTTCGCTCACTGGGGTAGAATGTTCTAGTTCCACGTACCATGTTTAATGGATGTCAGTTATCAGTTATCTCCTGTTAATTTTCCATCTGAAAGTTCTCCATTGCTTTAAGCAGGTACTGAACTCATCACACTTTTTGGGTCCTGTCACTGGATCTAACCAACGCCTTTATCCACTGTGCCTTGAGGGTATTATAAACCTAATGTCTTCAGCATTTTTACCAGTGCTCATATTGCAATTTTGCTGTTACCATTGCATGTTTTAACCAGAGCTCATAAATATGGCGACAAAGATGAGGACAAAGTCCGAATAATGTAAATAATGTATATAATACCTCATCTCAGAAATATAGACAGATATAAAACTTTGTTTAAAAAAAAATTTAAAACAAAAATAATTAAAAAAATCTCCCAGCATGCAACGGTAACTTCCTGCTTGAGTAACGGATTCTTCGCGCCCAAAACCGCCCAACTCACTCTCTTCGCAAAAGACCCTCAAATGTTATAGACGTCCATCTTCTCTCCTCTGCACCTTGCTTGTCATGAGACGAAATGACTCAGTCGGAGTTAGCTCCTCCTTAATTTCCAAATTGTCACTACGGGTCATTCTCCCTATACTATAAATACTGGGTGACTTCTTCCCTCGTTCTCTTTCCTTCAGGCCTCGTGCCGCATCCCACCTCACGTGGAGGTGAGGTAAATCCTCTTTTTCATTTCTTCATTTCAGCGACTGCAATGTAAGCTCTCTTAGAAGATCCGCGTCTTCCCATTTGTGGGAGACGCCATGAACATTATACACACATACACGTACGCACGAACATTCACAAAAGAACAAACACAAATGTTCACACAAACACACACACACACACACACACAGTATCATATATATATATATATATATATATATATATATATATATATATATATATATATGTATGTATGTATCGGTCTTGTTTGTCTTCTGTACATCTTCACTTGGACTTAAGTTGAGTCCGGACATTTTCTTGTAGTTGGAACTTTTAATATTCTACCAGGAGTTACACACGTGTTTCTAATACAACACGTAAATACACACGGTCCTCAATAATTCTCTTTATCTATTAGATGCAGTCTTAAAAAAC